TATATTCTACCCCTGTGTCATTTTTTGTTTCTATGCCTCTAGTAATCTGTATTCACACCTCCTAACTTACATTTCAAGTTGAAAATTTTGATTTCAATTTGTTTCCATGCTCATTTTTGTTCACACCTGTAATTCGTTCGTCTCTAAGCCTCTTGTAATTCATATCAAGTTGAAAACAATTATCACCTTTTATTCGCCTTTAAAATTATTTCTCCAGTTATCAAATATTAATTTTGCATACGTTGTGACTGTTTTCTAATCCTATGCAATCTTGTCTCTAAGTCCCTTGTAATCTATAATCCTACCTTCAAACTTTCATATCAAGTTGAAAATTACTATCACCTTCGTTACTATGTGGAATTAAACAAATAATAATTCTATCCATGTAAACTAATCTATATAAATGCGACTGTACAGCTTTTGAGAATGAAATCGCCGAAAAGACATTGTAGTAATTATTTGTAGTCGTAGTATTAGTATTTCGAGATGACCGAATTACACGAATCCAACCAAAACACAGAGAGGGCGGAATTCAGGAATTTGTATTTAGCGGAATTATATTGCAATTCATATAAGAAACATATTAACAATCAATAGTAAGTATTGAAACAATACAGAGATAGAAATTGTCAATCACCACAGACATCTTTCCTGAATTTTTTGTTCTTTTCAATCTAATCATTCAGTAATGTCATCCCGCAACATCTCGTTCATCTGTTGCTCAAGTTCTCCTTCTAAGTGATACAAGAAGCTTCGTCTTATGAATGGTGTCATTTCCTGACCAGTCACTATGATTTTATGCCTCACCTAATCACAACAACTGCGAGGGATCTCTATCTCAAGTAAACACATGATCATGTTCTCTAACTAACATTGTCATTCTGTTTACTGAGTGCGATTAAATCCGCTTCGCATTTCATTTAACTAACTCTGAGACCGCATCAATAGCCCACATTCCTGAAGCTAATACAGATAACATTAATTTACACATAATAATCATATACGCATATGTCACGCATGAGTGATGTATTCGATAAATTGATTTATCACAATTTGCTTTTCTTTTGTTATTTGGAATAGGTTTATTATACAGGAAATGTAATGAAATCTACGAATATATGTTATGATTAACTGCTCTCTCTCGAATCATCCTACATGAATACATTTAACGATAATTTGCTCTGAGTGACATATTCATTAGAAAGAAACCTACACGCTAGATAAAATTTCCATATAGTTTTCTCACTGGAATGCTACGTCTCTCATCTGCTATTTATAAGGTCCTGACTTTTTGAAGGCCTTTTAATGCGTTTTCAGCTCTTTACATATGTGCTGCTGCCACTCTCACTGATTACCTGCGTTGAACTTCTAAAACAAGGCTCCGTCAACGAAGCACACTATTGCCACAGCTTGTAACAGTCCGTTTGCGAGAAACACAGAATATTAGCCTACGTGAGTGAGAAATAATGCCGGATAAAATGTTGCACGTATAACCACAACTCAAAAAATGCATTGTGACCCACGGGATTGTAGTCACTGATAACCACCAAAACGGCTAACCAGTCTCAAGAGAACGTATGACGAAAAAAGCCTTCTGTCTGTATAAAAAAGGTGAATCAACGTAAGACTAGCGAAATGTTACATTTATATTCATCACAGTTGCTTGCAAACCACTAATAACACAACCACACAAAGCCGTACAAAAAAGCACCTACCTACGGTAATTCAAAAATGCAACTGACCAGTACTGTTCTAGCTAATAAAACACGGGACACCCAGAGGCGAAAGAAACTTAAAACGCGACAGCGTTTGGTCCCAGGCAGCATGTATACGGCTGTAGGTCATTTGATCAGCTGGAGTTTACAGGCTATATTTATTGAAAAACCTCAAAATTAGGTAATTATTAGTTGTTTTACACACTTTCATGCTTGTATTGCAGCTAAAAGTCTATGAAATGAAGCGTTTTTAGCATAAACAGCAAATGATGGTGCCCTTATCCGGCTGTAATTTACGGCCAATTTACAAATAGTTGAAATACGTACTTTTCTGTCCAGAAAGTGTCAAATTACTTGAATACACATGTTATAACGACTTTTAGTCATGCTTTTTTTCAATTCAGAGGATTACACATAGACATAATGAGGTAGACAAGTTCGTTATGTTAGTCCTTTTCACTTACTTTGTTGTGTACCTTTAGGTGATGGTGTCAAAGGTCCTCCACGTGTACCTATTTAAAGAAAATCTACAGAAATACTTGAGAATTATTTTCACATGTTATTTATTACACTGCATGTATTTGGTTTTTACAGGCAGGTGCAATGTCCATCTTGTCTGCTTGAAAAATATTGAATGACGTAAGTACACACAATTTAACGCATTATCTAGTATTTCCTATCACTTAAATGTTGTATTTATAATGGTAACAATGTCTACATCTTTTGATTGCTTAATTTCTTTTTCAGGTGATAGCTACTTTTGGGGATGTCATGGAGTTGGGTGTTAAAGAAGATTTCCATAGTATCATTGATTTTTCATTACATGTTATTTCATTAATAAATCTATTCCTCGTTATTTGGTTGTATATTCCACTTGATAAGACCGAATATTAGCCCTTGCATAAGTTGTGAGGTACAGAGTATTTTTTGATATATATTTTTTTATATACTAGGTAAGAGCAGATATTCGGAGAAGGCTATTTGTAAAAAGATTGTTTTAGTCCAATAAAGTAAAAATGTCCAAATCTCAGAGGAGGTATTACGATTATAAAGCTTTTTGAGTTATCTATCCTCTTCGCGGAACACATAAACTGATTCGCGATTCATAATCACAAAGTGAAAATAAATCTACCTGGGATAGTGTGCTTGTCACATCTACGTGTCGCAATGTACCATAAGGATAGACTGTGCCTATACTGCTAGATTAAAACTCAGTGCAACTACGGCTATCGTAATAATTAAAAAGAGAATGCCTACTGTTCTCAGCCAGAGGACGCGATACTTTGCTATCTGTTCATATAATCACGTAAACAAAAGTTTTCCAGACGCCGCGTTTATTCCTAACAGTTTACCCTCAAAACTTAGCACGTGTTACTTATGTTACTGAAACACAATCGCATTACAACGGAAGGAACACGGATTCATTGAAAAATTGTTTATTAAACAAAAATTAGATTTTAAATGTACAGATAATTCAGATGAGTAGTCCTCTGTTACCGTCAGTAAGTTTCATCTGGGTACACGGCACATATATGTCTTTCCATAAGTCTGAAAAGGTTTAAGAAAAGCACTATTAACTTGGGTATTACATGTATGATCTGAATAAAAAAGTTTTCTTGATAAGTGCCTACAAGTAATCACTTTATAAACAATATATATAAGTAGCTAAATTGTTTTCACTAACCTTAAGGGACTTCGCAATTTATCGTTGGTCGATATCTAGTAGGTACATTGAAGCATCATGAAATGATAAAACTGCTTACTGGCAAATTATACAGCAGTTTCCAAAGCTTGGACAAAGATTTTAATAAAAAATGACAATGGCTTTATGACAAATAACAACAGTCTTAACAGCAATAACAATAATAAGGTTCATGTTCATGGTGACTATAAAAGCAAGAATAGGTATCATTATCGCAATGAATTCACCATTAACTTGGGTAGACAACTACTAATAACACAATCATACCAATTAAATGTATCACTTAATCTTATGAAGCAGTCGTCTACTTACTTGCACTGTATTCTCGCAATACTGATGTAGTCAACCAGCTTATTCCAAATGAATTTTTTTTATTTATTGAACTGAGTGGAGACCCAGATTATGTCAACCAAAAACACAGCCTACATATATCACTCAGCTTACTGACATATTTGATACCTTCTTCCCAGTCGGTTAATTCACATGGGCAAAGTGGGCAAAACGTGGGATAAAAGGGTAATTTTGATCGGCAAACACGTGGGCAAAAGATGGTGTAAATGCAACCGATTCTACCCATTTTGGCCACATTTCCCACTTTTTCCCATGTCAGTAAAAAATGTTTTTTCCCACTTTTTCCTAGTTTTCCCACTTGACCCACGTTTTTACCCACTTATCCCATGTGCCGGAATAACCCACTTTTACCCCGTTTTCCCAGGTTTTCAACGAACAATTTAACCACTTTTTCCCCGTTTTCCCACCTTTTCAACGAACAAATTGCCCACTTTTTAAACGACCTTTTCATCCACTACTGCTATTTCCGTAACGAAAAGAAGCCTTCATTTTTCCTAGGCAAGCGCACGTATCATTAGAATTACTTTGCGTCCTACTATAGTAGGCCATTATAATGGCCTAAGAAATTGCTTAAACACTGTCATCCTTAATAGTAACTAATGCAATCGGACTCACCAAAGCTACGAACTTAGCGACTACTGCTTTACGATTCTCTCACTACATTCAAGGGTTATGCTACTGATATAAACGAAGGCCAATAGAGTGAAGCAATTTTATATTTTATACAGTAAGATATCGGATTTATAAAAAAGTAATATTTTGAAAAAATTTAAAATGACTTCATAAATTATTCTGAAGACGGCGATTTGCTGGTCCCAGGTTGAATCTTCGTAACAAAAATATAGTGTACGAATATACGAATGTGCCGCGTCAACTATGCCGTTTTTATCATAATTAACCAGAATGCTGTGTATTTCATAGTTATTTAGGGATCTCTGAATATAATGGTCAATCGATATTTGAACCCAGTCGGTTACTTTTTTTTGGACCTGGGATATGTGGGTAAAAACGTGGGCAGTTTTCCGTTCAAACGTAGGCAAAGTGGGATAAAGTGGGCTGTTTTCGTTTGTAACATGGGTAAAGTGGGAAGAAGTGGGCTAGTTGGTCAAGTGACATGGGAAAAGTGGGCAAACGTGGGCAACTATTTTCTGGAGACGTGGGAAATGTGGGAAAATATGGGAAACAGGGGAAACATGGGAAGAATGGGGTGAATTTGTTTTTGTAGCGCAGTCATACTAAGATGGGGAATGCATGAGGTGAGGAACATTTCAGCTTGAATATTATACAATGCGTCTGTAATCACTGTGAATTGGCATGAAGACAAATGGTGACGATTTCATTTCAATTATTTTGACACGTTTGTTTATGTGAATTCAAACTGAAGTTTGACTTCCGAAGCCGCGATTTCAAATTCTTCGTCGTGCACCCCTGACTAGGTGAGTTAAGTATGTGCAGTAATGTCTTTTTTAAGGTAATAAAATGGATACTGAAAGTGAAGTAGTACCAAGTGGTAGTAATGTGAATACCCCTAGACGTCTTAGAAGTACTTTATTCTCTTTAATATATATATATATATATATATGCTCGGTGACGTAGCCAAGATGATACTTCCCGATTTCAGAGTCGAGGCTGGTGAATGTCTAGTAGATGAAACTTCTTGTAGCGTCGTTAACGTGCAAAGTGACATGCAAACCACTTTACCAAGTTGGTTTCTTAGTATTTCGTGTGACGACTATTTTATAAGGTAATGCTGCGGGCGCTCTTTTGTCCCATGAGATACGTTCCGATAAGGTGAAAGAACGCAATTCAAAGGCAGAGCTTAGGAAGACTGCCTTAAAGCTTATGATGACCACTAAAACATCCATTGTTGATGGTGGAAAGATTATGCGATTGTTCAAACGGCATATTCCAAGATTACCAACAAATATAAGACACACTCTCAAAACTAGCCAGTCATGCCCCTCAACTGTTATTGGTAGTGGAGTTTACTATCATATTGGTTTGCGAAGTATACTTACGCCTATACTGAGTTGTTGGTGTCAGTTTGCATCTTTTGATTGCGTTAATCTGCAGCTGAATGTTGATGGATTGTCACTGTTTAACAATGGTACACAGCAAGTTTGGCCGATATTGGGTCGACTGGTGAAACCGTTTCTCAGTGATGTATTTCTTATTGGAGTTTATGGTGGTTTTCATAAACCGTCTGACTTCAATAGTTTTTTATTGCCAGTTGTAACTGACATGGAGCACTTATATGCACATGGTTTACAAATCAATGAGAGGCATATCGGCTCCTGGCTTAACAGTGTTATCTGCGATAAGCCTGCAAGATCTTTGAGCGAAAGCTTAATAACAGAAAGTATTTCGAGGAAATAGTAAGAAATTCCATCCAAGTTTGTTTAATTGATTCGTTTCAGATGTGCCAATTCTCATTCAAGGTGCATAATGACCCAAGCAGCTCAGCGCGCCGGTTGCTCAGCACAGTCCTAAATAAAAACCTCGCAAGGTTGATGAGTTATAAGGGGACTGCTGATAAGATTGGTATCCGTGACTTCACGTTTTTCCAGCTTATAATTGGTATGTTGATTTTTTGAAATAGTAAAATTGTATACCTAAAAAATTCAGATGTCATCACTCGTAAGCAATTACAACTCGGGTCCACCGAGGAGGAAACAATGGAAGCGATTGTGAAAGCCACTAAAAATTGGTGCCATGACCAGCGTGTTCGGAAGAAAAGGGATTTATCACCAGAAGAGGTAGTTTTTAATAAAAGTGTTACCAGTTTTTCTGCACTTAATGGGAATTGACGCGTATTTAAATGATTCTCTCTTTCCTTCATTACAGATGTCTGCTGAAGTCATTCAACCTGGGACCAGCAAATCGCCGTCTTCAGAACAATTTATGAAGTCATTTTAAATTTTTTCAAAATATTACTTTTTTATAAATCCGATATCTTACTGTATAAAATATAAAATTGCTTCACTCTATTGGCCTTCGTTTATATCAGTAGCATAACCCTTGAATGTAGTGGAAGAATCATGCAACTTAAGTTGCATGAAGCTATCACCTCTTCAGAACATTGTACAATGTAAACGCTTGCATTCTTGACATTCGAGTGTCACGGATCCGTGAGAAGTCCTTAGATCTTGACATGGGATGAATTTATTGAACTCCAATATCCAATATCCTGATTACGAGCTAGTATAAACCAGTGATTTCTTTGAGCTCGCTTCTTGATTGTGAGGTAGAGGTTCCAGATCTTCGGTGAGCTTCTGCGTAGTAAGTCCCGCCACTCGACTGCTTTAGCTCTGGTAGACTCCAGGAGGAGTGGTGCGGGCATTGGTCGAGATGTGGTTTGTAGTATGCAGTATGTTAGGACTGTATTGCTGCCGTGAATGGAGTTTGACCTAACTCCCGTTGGTCATTCGGTGTAGTCATAAAAGCAGAATAGTAGTAATAATAATAAGAATAAAAATAATGGGTTGTAGTGTAGATAATATGGGTTGAGATTAGTGGAATAATAAAGGTGACCTAAGGAAAAGATAGAGTGAGAGAAGGCAGAATAGGTCGTGGGGATTTAGTTTGTATGCTTATCCATTGACAGTATGGTTTCAGGTTTTATGAGGATAAGCCATTGAGACACAAACCTTGCATTTCTGCATGAATGTCCAGCTTCCGCTTAAAATCTCCACAGATGGCGCTGTAGTCACGGCCGCCGATAAAGCGTTCCAGAGACGGCAAACTCGAAGCGAAAAGAAATGTGATCGCACTCGAGTCTTTGGTCTCTGATGTGCTATCCTTAGCGGGTTACCTCGTGGAAGCCTATAATCACTTAATGGCAGGATGCTTTTATTTGGGTGGGCCTGGTCATTTAGGATTTGGTAGACGGTGATGAGGTCTCCTCTGTGCCTACGTTTACTAAGTGTGAAAAGTCCTAATTTCTTTAGTCTTTCCTCATATGATTTGTTGCGGAGGCCGACCACCCATTTTGTCTCTCGTCTCTGGACACTTTCTAGAATGTTAGCATCCCTTTTGAGTAGCGGAGGTGCAATGATATTATGCACCTCAAGGTGTGGCCTCACATATGCCTTGTATAGCCTTAAGAACAGTTCGGGAGTGAGAGCTTCCAGCTGCCTATGCATAAAGTGTAATGTTGCGTAGGCTTTGGCGACGTCCCTAGAGTAATTTCCACTGGTGTCTAGCTTTTCTGTTAGAATAAGACCTAGTGTGGTGATTGACTATTTCTATCTTTGTATTGTTTAAATACTTACTGTTGATTGTTAATATTTTCATATATGAATTGCATTCTAATTTCGCTAAATACAAATTCCTGATTGCTGCCCTCTCTGGGTTTTGTTTGAATTCTTATAATTCCGTCATCTCGAAAATCTAATATTCCAAGTACAATAAATTACTACAAATTGGCGTCGCGATGGAGCTAAGTAACCTGGGAAAATTTCCTCTTAATGGTTCTCCGCGGGAGATTGCTGATTATTTGGAATGCTTTGATGCGTGGTGCATTTCCAAGAATGTTCGGGATGATAAAATACCTGCTCATTTCATCACCGCTATTGGGCTTGATGCATATAGCCTGGTGAAGAATCTGGCATTTCCAGATAAACCCATTTCTATGTCATATGACAAGATCCGTGAGCTTCTGACAAATCACTTTCATGTGACTACATTTGAGACCAGAGAGAGGGCTCACTTCAACAAACTGGTTCGTGCTCCCAACCAGAAGATTCGAGAATTCATTCTTCAACTTCAAATTCAAGCCTCAAAGTGTAATTTTGGAGATCAGCTGCATACACAACTACGTGATCGTCTAATTGCTGGAATCAACATTCCTAAATTAGAGAAGCAGTTAATTCAGATTCCTTCTTGTACGTTTCAAACTGCTAAAGAGGTATGTATTACATATGAAGATGTCCATAAGGAATACTCTGCTCCCACTACGTCAGTATCTGATGTCATGCTGTCCAAAGTCGAAAATACAAGTGTTCATGGAAAGAAATCCAAACTGCCGTCCACAGGTAATAGAATGCAGCAAGAGATCAAAAACATTAAACCGTGTTTATCCTGTGGAAAGTTACATCTACGAAGCACTTGCCGTTTTCGGAGTGCTAAGTGCTATAAATGTGGTAAAGTTGGACACATCAAGACGGTTTGCAGAAGTTCGAATACATATGTTGCTCAACATTCTTATAATTCTCCCAAGCTGTCTAGCAAAATGGAGTCAATGTGTCTTTCAACTTTTCAAAATACTCAAGCTAATCCAATGAAAACCTCTACTGCAAGTTCAGCAACGCAAGCATAAACTGTATTCAAAAATGAGGTAGCCAAGTTGCAATGTGAACTGTCGAAAGCACGAAAAGACCTGAATGAGATAATAATAATAATAATAATAATAATAGTATATTCTCATTTTGTACATGAGAGACGCCAGTTTACAGGCATCATCAATATGATAAATTACATATACGATTAGGAATCATAATTAATAATAATGTTTTAATAAAGTACACATTTTTTCCTACTTGTGTAGGACACACCAAATATACAGGCATGGATAAGCATAAATTAAATTTCATAAATTCGGTTTATGGTTAAGTTACATGGTTGCTGGCGTTTTTGTTTTAATAATAATTATAATAATGTATATTCTCATATAAACATATAAATTTACATGAAAATGCATGCCATTTTTTTTAGGTCTGTGGGAACAATATGATAACCAATCATTCAATGGAGCACATAATGAAATATAGGAATATTGACTTCGCATTAACAAAAAAAACCCAAGTAAGTTTCGGATGGATTAAAAATACTTGGGAAAAAATAAAGCTTGAAGTTATTCCACAATATAACAAGTCATTCAATGGAGCACATCATGAAATATAGGAATGTTGTCTTCGCATTAACAAAAAAACCCAAGTAAGTTTTGGATGGATTAAAAATACTTGGGAAAAAATAAAGCTTGAAGTAATTCCTCAATATAACCTGGGTGTGTACAAATCCGAATCTCATTTTTGATTTGATTTCTATCCAAATTGGGTAATAAGGAAGCTATTTTTACAGATACGATCAGTTATGTTATCAGCTACAATCGTGAAGTTGTATTACAAATTGATACTTTTCCATTGGTATAAGAGTATATTCCACAAATGTAATCCAGGTTGCGTCGTGGAGAAAGTTAATTCGTTATTAACCAGGCAACTGAAAGATACGGGACCAATAATGTTTGCAGATCATTTGTCATTGTAAATGGTCAAATATCCACATTATTCATTCTCATTCAAAAAGTCAAATGGAAGCTGAAATGGTGAGAGAAAAAAGAAGAGATGAGAGAGCAACTGAATAAAATTGAGGAATTACTGCATATGCATAGACTATGTCTGGTGAATCCAGAGCATACAAGTTCTTGTGAAAGTCCTGCAAAACTATTCAAATCTCGAATTCTCAAAAAGCATCTGGTATCCACGACTTCTAATGTACATTATTACATAGATAATAACTACAGACCTTCTGTTGGAATTATACTACAAAAAATGGGAAATCGAGTGGTGAAGATATTAGACATCAAAGATCACTCAGTTCATAACGGACACCTGGACAAAGTGACAATAAATGAAGTAGGTCGTTCCAATTATAATATTATTGATTCCGCTAATAATCCTGATTTTGTAGATAATTCAGAAATAAGTCCAGATAATACTGATGAAAATAATATCACAGAATCAGTTAGGTCGAAGCCACTTGCAAGCAAACCGAGACATCGTTATAAATACGCGAGGAGATATTCAACGTGTGGCAGATGAGGTGATTGACTATTTCTATCTTTGTATTGTTTAAATACTTACTGTTGATTGTTAATATTTTCATATATGAATTGCATTCTAATTCCGCTAAATACAAATTCCTGATTGCTGCCCTCTCTGGGTTTTGTTTGGATTCTTATAATTCCGTCAGATCGAAATACTAATACTTCAAGTACAATAAATTACTACACCTAGATCGCGCTCTGATGGAACACAACTCAAGTTCTGGCCACCAAGGGTGTAATTTACACTCTGTGACCTGCCGGAATGAAGCTGCACTACTTTTCACTCCTTTAGGTTGAAAAGCATTCCGTTAGCCAGACCTCAGTTTCCCAGAGTTTGCAGGTCAGCCTGCAATCTATCTGAGTCTTCCGATGAGTTTATTGCTCTCCAAATCTTTACGTCGTCAGCGTAAAGAAGCGCAGAGCAGTTCAGTTGGGAGGGCAGGTCGTTGATAAAAATCAAAAACATCAACGGCCCTACGATGGAAGCCTAAGGAACCCCTGACGCCGAGGTGTGCCAGGATGATCGGATGCGGTTGACTTTGGTGCAGAATTCTCTCTCGCCTAAGTAATCTGTCAGCCATGCGAGAAGTGCTCCAGAAACACCCACCTTGCTTATTTTGTGAAGGAGCAGACCATGGTGAACTGTGTCGAATGCTTTCGCAAAGTCGAGAAAGATCACGTGGACTGGTACCTTTTTGTCCCAGGATAGTGTCCAATCATTCCAAGCTAGTAGAAGATTCGTCACGCAGGATCTTCCCCTCCTGAAACTGTGCTGTGCTTCGTGAAGAAGGTTAGTCCCATCGAAGTATTTTCTCATGTGGTCGTCAATGAGACATTCCAATATCTTCGATACCACTGGAAGTAGAGCAACTGGTCTGTAACTGGTTACATTCTGCCGGTCACCACCCTTGAAGATAGGATTGCACGTTTCCATTCACATGGAAGTTTCTCTACATCAAGGGAGAGTTGTAACAGATCGCTTAGGGGTTGACAGAGACTTTCTGAACACTGCTTCAGGACAGATGGTCTGATGTCATCACAACCTGAAGACTTTTCCGAAGCCAACCTTCCCAATTTTGCAAGTACCATAGCCGGGGTAATTTGAAATGTACCCAGCAGGTTTTCTTGTGTTGGTTTTGCGATGTAATCTGGATTTTCTGTAGGGGTAATATCCTCGTTACTATTTAGTTGCCTGTGAAAGGCTAGGCTGAATGTCTCTGCCATTTCAAGACTAGTAAGAGATTTCCCATCAGAACCCACTAGATTGCATGCTCCCTGGTTGGTCGGTTTTCTTTCGGACATAAACCTGTATAGGCTTTTGGGGTTCA